TGTTATCCCATGCCTTCTGCAACTCAAGCCAAAGGCTTTCCTTTGGATGTACAATAGATCTGTCCAGTTTATTTTCCAACTCACCCCAAATTTGCTCGATGGGGTCGAGGTCCAGACTTTTTGAGGGGGCCAGTCCATCATTTTCAGTGTTCCAGCAGATTCCTTTCGTCGCAGGTAGTTCTGGCAATAGTTTGTTTTATGGGTATTGTAATGGCCAATTAAAAAAAAAACAACTGAAACCTCTTAAATATGCCAAGTGTTCTAACAATTTTGGCCACCTGTACTTTTTTCCTGTTACATACATTTAATTAAAGATAGTGATGTTTATGCTTAAAAATGCCAATGATGATTGAAAATTAACTTAAGATGTAATTTTTGAAAATTAGTTATCTTACACAATTTTTAATATCTTTAAAGATAATTGCATGTAATTTACTGAAAAAATACTAATGAAGAAACTATTGTATTTGCATTGCACTAGTGGTCTTTCTCAAACTACTTCACACCCTTCAGTATTTGTGGAGGATGTGGATAACAGCCAATGTTCTGCCTTCCACGCTCGTTTATGCTCAAAAGAAACTATAAAGATGATATATTAATGTTATTATCCCCTGAGGCTTTTTAATAGACATATTACACACTTGGATGAATCATTTGCAGGCTGTGCATGGTCTTTCTTTCATGTGATCAGAGCAAAACCCTTTGGTGGGAAGGCTTGTTTACTGATTTTTTCAATCCTCAAAAAGGGATATTCACCCAATCCCTTATTTCTCTCTCTCTCTGTAAAATCCAGTGGGCTAAAGATCAGAGCAAGCAGCATGTGAGCTGCATTGTGGGTATGGGAAGAGTAAACGTGTTGTTATTGTGTTACTGCGTTGTTTTACCTTTGGGTGAGGAATAGGGTCAATAATGTTGCTAATTTATCATTGCTGCTGTTTAATCGACTTGAATAAACATTGTTTTTAATGAGCGTCTGTGTCCCAGGAGTGAACACTCCTATTAGATCAGTGCGAATTTGGGTTTTGGCTCAGTGAAGAGCACATTGTGTGGAGCACATTGCTTGAGGTTTTTATTGAGCTGTGATTGCATTAATCCTGTTTATAACCATCTATGTAATGAGGCTGCTGTGTGTTTGGGTTCGGCAGCTCATTCCAGGAACCAAATGATCCTCTGAGCGCTAGCCCTAACTGCTAATACAGTTCTACTCTGCCGATCTCGCTCACTATTTTTCTCTCACCCTCCCCTACCTGGTTCTGTGCTGACTCTAGTTATTTTCGAGAGGGGTTTTTTTTGGATGACAGAAACACAGAGTGAAATGAATGCATTTGGAGTGGGGTTATAGATTGATATTACTCTGGTCGGATCTGGTTATGGTGTTTCTCTCTCCTGAGCAATGGCCTCGGGGGTTTAGAAAGATACGGATCTGTGAACTACTTTGTGGAACCGCAAACTACCCCATGCTAATGTACTCTGCTGTGTATTTATCTTTTCAGTCGCATTCAAGCTTGTATTATCTGTCTCTCAAATCAATTACAGCCCGCTGTTCCATCTAGTCTCCATTCAAGAGCCGAATTTACCAAAACACCCAATTTTGCGCATGCATTTAAGCCGGAGAGAATAACAACAACCTAATTAAGATATTTCAGCACATTTAGAAGGTGATTAAACTGGATTGTGGGTGCTTTTTGCGCTTATATACTGAATACAAATGTAGCGCAAACACATTTGCACTCGTTCGCACAAACAAAAGCATATTTCAGCATTAGTAACAGATGTGGCTTTCACTTTGCATTTTTAAGTCAAACAAAGACTGAAGGACTGAAGATATGTGATGGCTGGAATCAAAGCAAGCCTGTCAAACTGCATTATCTTTGCTGACAAGAATCTCAGCTGAATAAAGCCAATGAATATCTGCAGGGCATATGTGTGACTCACGCTATCTGTGTTTGTTTTCCTCAAGCAGATAATGCATTAAAGGTTTTGCACTAGTCAAGTCTGTATTTTTATGTCAGTTAATAGACCTTTTGTTTTCTAAATTAATAAACAGATTATTCTTCTTCAACCGACAATGCAGTACTTACCTGGATATAAATCTCATTATAGCCGTGACTAATCAAACAACCCATTGTATCATGCACCAAAAGTGGCTAATGAGATATCTTGTGACCTCTGATGTAGGCAGATCTGGTGTTTGGTTCACGTTCAGAACAGAAGCGGAGGAAATCAGGTGGTTCGGTAATGGCGTTCCTGCCCCGCTGCTCTGGAGGGATCAGACAGAGAACCTGTCGCTCGTAAGATGACATATTCAGCTGTGCCTGGATTGATTCAGCACCTTGCCCAACTCTGCTTTCCTTCTCTCTGGGGTTTTGTGTGTGTGTACAACAGCTCTGCAGTATTAGTTCGTTGCTCTCTGCTTTGCTGCAGTACTTTACACTCATACTGGGCTGAGCTACTTTAGCTAGAGGTCTAGGACAGTCCAATAGTTCTAGATGGTGAATTTAAAACAGTGTTTCGTAGATTAGTTCCAGATTATTTTTGCCTGCTAACTTATATAGCCATACTTTTGAATATCAATATAAATTCTGATCCAGTTTGCATCTTATTCTAGACAAAAACATCTTATTTGACAGGGGGAGACTGTCTGAGTGAAAAGAAACATAACTTCACTTTGTTTTCACATGCAATTTCAGGGCTGGTTATCTGGAACAATTGATACAACAATAGCAAATTGGCCTGGAAAAACTCAGCTAGGAAATTTGGAATTGTTAAATTTATGCTCAAAAGTATTAAAATATTAGTTGCTTGTTGAACACAGAAGATATTTTGAATATGCCTCAGTGTATTTATGTATCTATGTATTTATTCATTTATTTAAATTTTAGTCTAATGTCGTTTTGGACCACATTGACTTTAATTGTATGGGCAAAAAAAAAATAAAAAATTTTTGGGTGAACTATATCTTAATACAAGTTTTATATCAGATTTGATATGCAAATATTTTGAAAAAATGTGTCAGGGTTGTTTTGTTTTGTTTTGTTTTTCCTTGCCCATACATGTAAAGCCAGTAGAGTGCAATGTCGTTTTGGACCCCATTGACTTTTATTGTATGGTATAGTTCACAAAAATAAAAAATAAAAAATTGGGCCAAGTACACCTTCAGCTCTATAATCCTGCTGTATCACATTTGACTGATTGGAAAATGGGTTGAAAAATGTCTTTTTTTTTGTTTTTTGTTTTTTGTGAACTATACCTTTAAGTACTGATAGTTTAATAACTTCAGAATTAATCTAATTCTGTCTGTGGATATCTGCTTTCATTTATACTAAGAGCCTCAGCCAAAACTAACTAAATATTTTGGATGAGATATGATGGCACTAACAGAAAAACTTTCACAAAGTAATTAGTTCTATACAAAAGTGTCCATTGTATAACTTTGGATTGCAAATGGAGATTTCAAGAAGCTGTTGTCATTTTTGTGTGCAGTATTCATCAGTGAGAATGCCATCTGAGGATGTGACTGTGGAGGGCAGCCTGCTTCATTTCTGTGGCTTTGGTTTCTCCATTAATAGAGTTGTTTGGCGCTTGTTCTATTTTTTATGACACTCGGTGCGATACTTGTACCATTTCAGCTCAAGAGGCATTTGATTTTAACTTGTGATAATATCACAAATCATACCCTGGGCGTATTATTGACTGACATTTATAATGCCATCGGGGGCCATGAATATACAAAAGCGGTTGCATTATGTAAGACATGCATAATGAATGTGCTTCAGGAGTGTATTGATGAAGAAAAAAACCTGAGATGTCAGTCTTCAAGTACTTCGCGTTGATACAATCCTGCATGGCAGCCGTGAAACCCAAAGCCCCTGATGGAAATAAATGGTCCCATTTTGTCAATCTTCGCTTTGATGGAAGACAGTCCACAATGCACCTGATGCCAAAGCACCGCATTTCCTTTCTGCTGGACCAGGTATCAAACGGCAATGGTTTGCTTTTCATACAGCTTACAACATCAACAACGTGCACTTTTCAGTGGGAAACATCAAAATGAACATCTTGAATGAAGAAGAAACTCTCCTTCTGTGGCTCAATTTGCAAATTGGTTCGTTCCGAAGGTGTAGTTGATTGTTTGAATTTAAAACGTAATCTTTTTAAATAATGCAACAATAAAATTATACAAGTGCCTTTTTGAGTAGACTTCAAGCTGCTTTTCAGTGCAGCGAGGTGTGTACAGTGTTGAACGGTAATGAGCTTCTTTCTCCAGAGCGCTCTGTTGACACTCCTCATCAGGTTAAAGGAAGTGCCTCTTTCTTTCTCGTTAACAGCCCCTCCCAGGTGTAAGACATTGTCTTTCAGAACATACTTAAGTGAATGCAGTGTGATATTTTGCTGTCAGAAACTACATTGGGGACGATATTTATTTAAGTCAACCATGTATTACCGCTTGACGTTGAGAACTGCATCACATGGATCCCTTTCCACCAACGTTTTTTTTTTTTTCCCCTAGTCTGGGTTTCGTGAACATGAAAAGGCGCCTTATGTTTTAGCAGTTTGACTCCGGTGTGTATGCCAACACTTCAAAGCAGCTGTGCAGAGACTGAGACTCATATTTGAATTGAATTTTATATCTCTAGTGTCGCCTTCTCCCACAATAGGACACAAATGACTATAAATACATCAGAGCATCAGTATTTCAGGGAAGATGAGGTTTGAATTTGCAAAGAAGGGCATCAACATGCTCTACAGTGTGGCTTATTGTACCCAAGCAAAGTACTGGGAAATCAGACGCATTTCAGCTCTTCAGTAATAATGAGACACATGCAGCATGATGCTATTTACCCAAGTAACACTTTGCTGTTTCAGGATCAAGACTCCTATCCAACCAATCAAGTCATTTGTTTTTGTTGTAGTTGTGTTTTGAGGAATCATAGACAACCCTTCTCTCTTTTGAGAGCTTTAATACAGATCATGACTTATTTTAATGTTTTCTTGTTCAGATGACAGCCTAAGCTCAGACAGCGAGGTTCTGGAGATTCTATTCATCAGCAGATATAGAGCAGGAGTGTATGAATGCACCGCATCCAATGACATTGCAGTGGACACACAGACTGTTGAGCTCACAGTCAACTGTAAGTCTCTTTTGAATTTAAGTCAACATTACATACATATACAATTTATATTGCATATGTAATTTTTTTTAAATTTATTTATTTATGGACTTATTTTTTGACTTGTTTATTTATTTGTAAACAAATATTTGTTCACTTTTAAATAAATACATTTATAATGATGATTTATTTAATAAATAAATAAAGTTTTTGTTAATGAAATGTCTTAAAAATGCAACAAAAACATCATCACTAAATCTTAAGACTTTTGAACCCGACTTTATGTGCAAAACGTTTATTTGCTTATTTGTTTAAACCTGTAAACTTTCAAGGTTTTATTTAAATAAATATAAAATTATAACAGAATTTGTAATGAAATGTCTCAAAATGAAAAACAAAAGCATTGCTAGTGTTTTAAGACTTTTGAACCCCACTTTGTTTACAAATTATCTGTATTTATTCATTTATTTATTTAAACAACTTTAACGTTTTCTGTAAATAAAGAGAAAGGATTTTATTGAAATAAATAAATATAAAATGATAATATAATGTGTAGCAAAATGTCTTAAAATGCAAAACAAAAGTTCAAAGGTTTAAGACCTTTGAACCCCACTTTGTGTACAAATTTTATTTGTACTTTATTTATTCAAACATGTTAATACACAGACATTTTAGGATTTTATTTAAATAAATAAATATAAAATTATAATATAATTTGTAAGTAAATGTCTTGAAATGCAAAATAAAAGAATGACCAATAGTGTACTTTTGATCCCGCTTTGTGTACAAATTATATTTAATTTTGTTTGTTTGTTGTTTGAAGTTGCATTATGATGGTCACTAAGTAACAGACCCTAACAGAGATCCTTTATGTGGTTTTGTGTGTTTAGACCCTCCCAGTGTTTCAGATGGCAGAGATGTCGGCGTGACCCTGGGTCAGAGAGGTGTCCTGCAGTGTGAGGCAGATGCTGTACCCGAGGCAGATTTTGAGTGGTACAGAGATGACAGGAGGTATGGCATATCACTTCAGGATATTCTGCTTCATCTGTTCCTTTCTTTGGGATAAAACCGTAACCTCAATGTAACACTTAGTGTTATATGTGTGTGTGTGTGTGTGTGTGTGTGTGTGTGTTTGTGTACACTCTGTAATTTCTCTTTCTCTTTCAATTTACAGTTTCTTTTTTGCTAGATGTATACAGAAGCAGCTAGTTCTTAACAAGAGTGTTCTGTATTTCCTGTATATCTGTCAGATGTATAATATTGGAATTGACATTGTGAGGTGAAGGACAAATATTTTTCAGTAGTTTTACATGACTGACTAGATGTGCTGTCATTTGTTCACTGTATTTAACAGCAAAATACTTGAGTGCCTTTGGCTGGAATGTGTCTCAGTATGTTCTCTCAAACTGTCTTTGATGTCAAGTGAAGAATAAGTTGTCACAATTTTGTATCATAATTAAATGTGCAGAAGCACGCGTGTTGCGTGTCCCTCTGCGTGCCACTGCCAGTAATTCAATCCTGCAGTTTTGCCTCCTTTTAATGTATCCAGGCCCGCCGCAATCTGCGTCCGAAAATGTTGATGCTGTCATAAATGTAACTTCTAGCTTCAAAGCAAGCTCTGATGTAGCGTAAACAAGGCCAGGCTGATTCAAGTCTCCCCATTTGCTGACTGTTTCCCAGGATCTTCAGTGACTTTGATGGCATTGAGATTGAGGATGCCGGAGCATTTTCAAAGCTGACATTCTTCAACGTGTCCGAGGCAGACTATGGCAATTACACCTGCATTGCTATCAACAAACTTGGGAGCGCTAACACAAGCATCATCCTATACGGTAAGTTTCAGTAGTTGCTGGTTTCAGTCAAATCTTAAAGTCTGTTAGGAGCCTCTTCACAATTCTTCAACTAGTTTAATTTTTTTTATTTTTTTTGCTTAAATTTTCGTTCAAAAAAAAATAAGCTGAACGAAAGCAGAACTTCATGCTGATAACGTTCCTGTAAACACTATGAATTTTTTTTTCGTAGTTTCTGACCCGTTCAACTATTAATCTTTGAGATTTTCATCTCAGGATTCTCCTTCATTTGCTTTTGATTCATGTTTTTGTGTTTGTTTTTGTTGATGTAGAAATAATTGAACCCACTAGTTCGACGCTATTGCAAGGTTAGTAGAGTGCATGGGAATGTGGCCTCCTAAAGCATGTTCCAGCGTGTTTAATAGGCAAAGAAGATGCAAACATGGTTATTTTCATATCAACCGCAATGTGACAAGGCCAAGTCGTTGATATGGCACTCAAGTTTATCGGCGAGGGCGGCTCACAAAATTTCCCTGATTTGAACAGGGTAATATAATTGTCGTGCCTCGTCTGACAGAATGTGATTGTCAGATGTAAATTGGCCACTAGCTGTTCCTATTAAGGGGGTTATTAGCTTAAAATCCCATTTTGTAATGTCAATAATATATTCAGCACATTGAGTGACAATCTGAATTGGCGCTCTGGGATTGGCGGGGTACTGACATGCCTCAATCTGCCTTCAGTCACTGTGGGTTGATGAATGGGTCTCTGTTTTTGTACTGTAGCCTAAACATGTTTCTCTTTCTCCTCTGTCACTTTCTTTCCTCTCTAACCTTCCTCCACCATGGCATGGCTTCATTATGTCAATGCATGCTCTCATCCGCTGTTTGTAAGTACATGTCTGCATCATATGATGTCTTTTGATGTTTGTTGAATTGTGAGTGATTCGTTATTACTCAGCTGATGAGAAAAGTACTTAAAGGAAAATTGTCATCATTTACTTGCAATCATACTACTGTGGAACAGGATAAAAAAGGAATACTGTTCTCTAACCAATGTAATTACAGTGAACAGAGACTGGACAAAACGGACAGAAAAGCAGCATGAACGTATCGTAAAAGTGGTCCATATGACTCATGCGCTGAAGTCCACGTTTTCTGAAGTTATACAGTAGTTGGAGAGCAGTAGTGATGCCCGATTCATAAAAGAATCATTCTTTTGAGTTAGACATTTTTAATGAATCAGTTGATTCAATTCTCAAAATCAGCCAGAATAATTCATTTGAATTGGACTGATCCGCTTCTCAAGTTCTCAATGACACAGTAATCTTGCAGTGGTTAACAGTTCACTGGAATATAACAAAAAAATATAACATGAGTTTATTGGACTACTTTTATGATACTTTTATAGTACTTTTGCATCCTTTTTAAAGCCTAAAATCTTCAGTTATTGTTCATTAAAGTAGCATGGAAAAGAACCAGTGTATCATTCCACATAAGAAAGTAAGACATAGCGGTTTGGAATAACATGACGGTGGGAAATTGATGACAAATATTATCATTTTTGGCTGAGCTATAAATCACTTTAAATGTACATTTGCCCCTTACAAAAAAAGTGCCATGGTCTTACCTGGACTTAGGAACCATGGTAGTACACAATGGTTTATGGTACACTCTACAATAGCTGTCAGTGGGGCAGTACCTTTTAAAAGGTTCAAATTTGTACTATTTAGGTGCTAAAATGTACATTTTATGTCCAAAGGTTTACATTTTGAAAAGGTACAGGCCCAGTGACAGCTTTTATACCTTTTTTTCTGAGATTGTACATAAATCATACAGTATCATTGTATCAATACAGTATATCAACCCAATTTACCATTGTACTGCCACAGTAGGAGAGACCTCAGCCAATTTAACTTTTTACTTTTTACTCTCAGACTACTGCAATTTGTCCATCTTGTGGTATCAAGCCTATGAATGTGCCAACAGTAATATTGCCATTAATGCACATGCATAGAGAAAAATCATATTGAATTTCAGACAAGTCATGTTATGTAATTGCAGCTAATACACATTCTATTGATGAATAGAAGTTGCAGTGCACACTTTAACTAATAGATCTCAAATAGCTGAATAACTTAAAAGAATGTCATTCATTTAATACTAAATAGTTTATAGTTTTATATGGTACTGATTCTTTTAGCTATGTTGAATGATATGTTTAAAAGCAAAGGTCAAACTGAGACCTACATTATTTAAAACATAGGCGTAATTTGCGGGTGGGACATGTCCCCACCACTTTTTGCCAGGGTCGATATTGTCCCTACCACTTTTTGAAAGTAATTGAAAAATATATTGCAGAAGGTATGTATTAAAGGGAAAACAAGATCAACAAATCATTCTTCATAATCAAATTAGGGTGATAAAAAAAACAAAAAACAACAACATTTGACTCCTTACGCATGCATAACTCGTGCAGTGCAATAACGATGTGATTTGCAGTTGTCGCACTTTTCGTAATGTCATTAGGCTATAGCATTTTATTTTTTAAAAATGGAGAGCTTCCTTGTGCTAAGTAGGCCTGCCCTCTACTAAAAAATTTTCTAGTCAACTAGTCGCACGTTATATTAAATTGATTAATATAATAATATATTAACCATACTTCAATATAGGCTATAGGCAGACGTATTAGGCTAGA